ATTATACAAATGAGGAAACAGGATTAGAAGATTAAACTACTTGCCCAAAGTCAGAAAGTTGTAGGTGGCATGGCGAGGATTAATTTCAGTTGAATTCTGTTTTTGCTGAAACTCTTGACCTTTACTGTGGTTAAAAAGCTAGGTTTTGGTGAAAAGAAGGGAGATTTTCTTCTCTTTAACTTGCATGTTACTCAGAAGCCATTCCTTAAAAGCTGGTGGTTTAAACTGATCTAATGGTAATTGTTAGGTATTGCATGCAACTTTTAGTATTAGCAAAACATATTGTATGACATATATTGTAGTCCTACTCTTTTTTTTCCCTTTTTAAAAAGTAAACTAATGGGTGATAGAGCTCTATGTGAAATAAATTTATTGTCAGTTTGTCCAGTTTTCGGACCAAAATCCTTGATTCATTTTTCTCTCATATGCAACATCTAATCCATAGCAAACCAAAGCTCTACCTTCAAATTATATCTACAATCCGATCCGTTATCCCCAACCCCACTGCTACCACCCTAGTTTAATCCAGCACCATTTCTCACCTGGATTATTATAATAGCTTCTATTTTTACATTTTTTTGTTCCCTTTTAGTTGCTTCATTTAGTCTCCTTTCAACATATAGGATAGAATGATCTGGTTCATTATTTTGTCAAATCATGTCACTCCTTTGTTCCAAATTCTCCAATGAATGCCTGTTTTATTCACTGTAAAAGCCAAAGTCCTTAACATGATTTAAGAGAGTTCTTTGATTATCTCTCTGGCCTTACCTTCTACTGTTTTCCCACTTGCTTATTCTACTCTATATTGACCACCTTGCTAATCTTTGAACATGGCAGGTATACTCCTACCTCAGGACATTTGCACTTGCTCTTACTGTTGAGTTGCTCTTCCCCCAGATTTCCATGTAGATCATTCCCCTGCTAGCTTGAAATAGTTACTCAAATGTCGACTTCTCATTGAGGCTTCTCTGATTACCCTGTCTAACCCAACCCAACACTTCCTATCCCCGTTCCCTGCTTAATTTTTTTCCTTATCGTTTATCACTATCTAACCTTACTATATAAGGTCTTTCTTATTTATCTTGTGTTGTCTTTTTCACTAGATTGTAGAAGCATGAAGGGATTTTTGTTTGTTTTATTCACTTCTGTGTCCTTAGTATTTAGAACAGTGTCTGATATGTAGTCAGTACCTAATATATAATTTGTTAAATGTATGAATGTTTAAAAAATTTTAAAATTTTCTGAGAGAGTATTGATACATATTCACGGTTGATTCATTCTGGGTGCTAGAGCCAGTCCTAAAATGTCCATTGGTGGCACTGTTGGAAGTCTGGACTGAGAGATCAGTCTGTTTAGACATTTTGCATCTTCTAAGCTTCATTTAATGCAGCATAAAATAGAGGTGTGATGGTATTGGTACTAAACTTATAAACATATTTACTTTGGAAACAGAAAAATATTTTTCCCAAATCTTAAAAATGCTTTATTAGAGGTACTGTTTAAAAGGTTGGTGTGTTAATAAAGGACCTTCTGAGAAAGAAAATTGTGATATTTGCTGTTGTTCATTTAACAATTGAGTTTTAGAAATTAATCAGTATTGGGACTACAGAGTTTCATCCAAGGAGAAGTTTTTGTAAATGGAAATAATGTATAGAGTAATTAAGATAGTGTGGTATCGGCGAAAGAATAGACAGGTCAATATTGCGGAGAGAGCCCAGAAATAGACCCACATAAATATAGTCAACTGATCTTTGACAAAGGAGCAAAGGCAATACAATGGAGAAAAGATAATCTTTTCAACAAATTGTGCTGGAACAACTGGACACTCACGTGCAAAAAAATGAATCTAGACACAGACCTTATACCATTCACCAAAATTAACTCAAAATGTATCAAAGACCTAAATGTAAAAGGCAAAACTATGAAACTCCTGGAAGATAACATAGATGAGTTTGGTAATGACTTTTTAGAAATTTACTCAATATATATCATTTAGAAATTTACTCAATATGTATCACAGACCTAAATGTAAAATGTAAAACTGTGAAACTCCTGGAAGATAACATAGGGGAAATCTAGATAACCTTGAGTTTGGTAATGACTTTTTAGGTATAACACCAAAGGCACGATCTATGAAAGGATCAATAAACAACTTCTTTAAAATTAAAAATTTCTGCTCTTCAAGAGACACTGTGAAGAGAATAAGATAAGCCACAGACTGGGAGAAAATATTTGCAAAAGACATATCTCATAAAGGACTTTTATCTAAAATATGCAAAGAACTCTTAAAACTCAACAATAAGAAAACAACCCAATTAAAAAAATGGACCAAAGACCTCAACAGATACCTTACCAGAGGAGGTATACAGATAGCAAATAAGCATATGAAAAAGATGCTCCATATCATATGTCATCAGGGAAATGCACATCAAAACAATGAGACATCACTATACACCTATTAGAATGGCTAAAATCCAGAGCACTGACAACACCAGATTCCGAGGAGGATGTGGAGCAACAGGAACTCTCATTCTTTGTTGGTGAGAATGAAAAATGGTACAGCCACTTTGGAAGACAGTTTGATGGTTTCTATCAAAATTAAACATACTCTTACCATATCAAATTGCACTCCTTGGTATTTACACAAAGGAGTTGAAAACTTATGTCCACACAAAAACCTGCACGTAGATGTTTGTAGCAGCTTTATTCATACTTGCCAAATCTTGGGAGCAACCAAGATGTGCTTCAGTTAGGTGAATGGGTAAATAAATTGTGGTACATCTAGACAATGGAATATAATTCAGCACTAAAAAGAAATGAGCTGTCAAGCAGTGAAAAGACATGGAGGAACCTTAAATGCATATTACTAAGTGGAAGAAGCCAATATGAAAAGGTTATATACTCTATGATCCCAACTGTATGACATTCTGGAAAAGACAAGAACTATGGAGACCAAAAAAGATCAGTGGTTGTGGATAAAGGGAGAGAGATGAATAGGCAGAGCACAGAGGATTTTTAGGGCAGTGAAAATAATCTGTGATATTATAATGGCAGATATATGTCATTATACTTTTGTCTAAACCCATAGAATGTACAACACGAAGAGTGAACCCTAGGATAAACTACGGACTTTGAGTGATCATGATGTGTCAATGTAGGTTCTTCCTTGGTTAAAAAAAGTGCACCATTCTGGTGAGTGATGTTGATAATGGAGGAAGTTATGCATGTTTGGGGGCAGGGGATATATGGGAAATCTCTGTACCTTCCTCTCGATTTTGTTGTAAACCTAAAACTGCTCTAAGAAAATAAAGTCTTTAAAAAGGGAGGTGGGGGCTTGATAAATGTTGCTCTGCTCTGGGTTTTGAGCCTTAAGATATCTGCCGGAGCACCCAGTGACCAACTGTGCCTATGAAATAAAATCTGTCCATCCCAGATTTGCTCTTCAGCATCCTTCAGCCGCAAACTGGGATCACCGAGCAGCCTGCACAGCTCATCCACGTGCTCTCAGGAGGGACCCCGAGCCCTGCTTCCTTAACTCCATCAAGCAGGAGCAAGATGGACTTGGTGTCAAAAGAAAAGTTACTGAATCCCCACATTTAGGAGACTTTTTGTTCTTCTCAGTGTAGCAAAGGGAAAGGTGACAAAACCCACGCAGTCTAAGCCAACACACTGTATGTGGTGAAACTGAGCTTGTGTGACTTTGAGATTTTATAACTTTTTTATAACCTCACATTGTTTTTTTTTTTTTTTTTGGGTGAGGAAGATTCGCCCTAACATCTGTGCCAGTCTTCCTCTGTTTTGTATATGGGTCACCACCACAGTATGGCTGCCAACAAGCGGTATATAACCTCATATTCTAAGATAGTATTTATGCCCAGGAAATTTTTCTTGAAGGAGTGGGTGAATTTTCATTTACAGTTTAAGTGTCATGTATCACCAGTAAGGATTCAATTTGTATGCCAGTAACAGAAAACTTGGTAAGTACTGGCTTAAGCAAGTGAGGATTTACTTTTCTCATGTAATGTGAAGTCCAAGATAGGCAGTCCATGGCTGATGCAGCCGCTCAAGGATGTCATCAAGGAACCAGTGTCCTGTTTTCCTAGCGTATGGTTTTTGTTTTCATGGTCACAAGATGGCTGTTATACCTCTGGAGACTTCATCAGAGTTTTTGGAAGGAAAAAGAGGGAAGGATAAAAGGAAATCTCTTTTTACAAAGCTTTGCCTTTTCCTGGTAGAGAGTGCCCTTTTCGTTGTCCAGAACTCTGTCATAGTTGGTATGACTTGGTATTTAACTTACAGTATCTGGAAGTAGAGTAGTGGTTAAGAACATGGACCTGAGTTTGAAAATTGGCTGTGTTACTTCCTAGCTGTGTGACTTTAACATCTCTGTGCTTCAATTTCCTCAACTATAGAATGGGTCTAGTAATCGGTACTACCAACACTGTGTTGTTGAAGAGGTTGAGTGAGTTAATATATGTCATTGTTTTAATGGATATAGTTTGTGCTATTTTAAGTATTAGCTGTTATTACCATCTTCATTACCTAAAAGAGTTATTGAAATTGGAATTGAAAGTTTATCACACGGGAATTAATTTTCTTTGAGATAGGAAATAAAAGAGATCATTTAGATTAGCAGATCTGGGTAGGTGCTTTTGAGTACAGGGATGGTTGAAGAAGATGGTAGAACTTTCTTAGGGTCTCTCCAGATTGCCTTGCACTATTAAAAATTATGGGTGTGTTAAAGTATTGGGGCCATTTTAATTTACCCATTTAGTTCATCTTAGAGCTTGATGGCCCTTAGGGCTATCTTGAACAGATTGTTGTTTTACCAGCAATCCTTTAAAGTTCATTCAATTCAATATAAATTTCATCTCTTATTGATAGACTGTTTGAAGACTTAGCTATATATTGAAATATAATTTCGTTGGTATTGTTACTGGCCTTTTCCAATTTGTAATCTCTCAAAAAAAAGTATCAATTTTTTTCTATTTTCTTTTTAGCCCTATCTGCTTTGATATGATTGAGGAAGCATACATGACGAAATGTGGCCACAGCTTTTGGTAAGATGATTTTATTTAGTGAAATTGTCTTTTGGCGATTTTTAACTTGTGTGTAAATGTAGCTAGTAGGAAGTTATGTTTTTTAAACTAATTTTGGTCATCTTGTAATCATATTATTTCTTTGACTGATATGTCTTTACAGGTTCGACAGCTCAAGGCAGTAAGCATATAGTCGGTGCTTATTTCTGTGAAATACTTAGATTTACCATAGGCCTTACAGATGGATTTTAAAATTTCCTGGTTTGTTAATTGTTAAAGAGCTTTGACTGCTATTTTAGAAAATTGGGGGGTGGGGGCTGGGTAATCAGGACCAAGCATGAAGCACCTGTGAAGCACCATTAACTCACTTTTGGGGATAGGTGTGAGGCCCAGTAAAGCAGGCTAGAAAGTCATTGGAAAAGGATATAGAGGATTCAAAAGTGCTGTGTTCTCTTCTTCAACACTTTGCTCGGTGTTATCTTTAGGTTATATGTCATGTTAATCTGTGTATTTTAAAAAGTTTTTAGTTGTGGTAAAATACACATAGCGTAAAGTTAACCATCTTAACCATTTTTAATTTGGGTAATGTTAAGTATGTTCACATTGTTGTGCAGTCAATCTCCAGAACTTTTTCATTTTACAAACCTGAAAGTCTTATATCCGTTAAACGACAGCTCCGTATTTCCTCCACGCCGAAGTCAGCCATCGTTCTACTTGCTGTTTCTGTGAATTTGACTGTTCTAGATAACCTCATATAAGTGGGATCAAACAGTATTTGTCTTTTTGTGACTGGCTTATTTCACTTAGCATAATGTCCTCCCGATTCATCCACATTGTAGCATGTGTCAAAATTTCCTTCCTTTTTAAGGCTGAATAATATTCCATTGCATGTATATATTTTATCCGTTCATCTGTTGATAGACACTTGTGTTGCTTTTACCTCTTAACTGTTGTTAATAATGCTGCTTTGAACATTGGTGTGTAAATATCTGCTTGAGACCCTGCTTTCAGTTCGTTTGGCTATATACCCGGAAGTGGAATTGCTGGATCAAATGGTAATTCTATGTTTAATTTTTTGAGGAGTTGAGAAATCGCCATGCTGTTTTCCACAGTGGCTATACCATTTTACATTCCCACCAACAGTGCACAAGAGTTCCAATTTTTCCACACCCTCGCCAACACTTATTTTCTGTTTTATTTTTAATGGTAGCCACTCTAATGGGTATGTAATCTGTGTACATTTAATTCCTTTTGTTTGTTCATTTATTTATTTTTTGATTGGGGATAGTATATTCTACTTGCAGTCAGTCATCTCCGTAAATTATTTACACTGTTGGTGTATTATTTTAGCCTTAGTATTTCTGTTGTGTTCTAATAGTCCTTATATTCTAATTCATGTTGAAGTAAGACCCATAATTTTATACTGAAGTTGAATAGTTGAAAATGATATCTGGTAGGTTGATATCCATTAGTTAGGAAGAGTACTGGGTGTTATCACCAGTCTGTAAATCCTTTAGTTTGATCTGGAGTGTGATGCTTCATTGATAGGTGTACCCAATCTGCCAGTCATTTGAAAAGAAGTTTAGAATAAAAATAGCTTTCTTAGCTTGCATTGTTTATGTTCTTGATTAAAATAAAAGTTATTAAAGTCATAAGAGCAATGTATATACTCTTGGCCTCAAAAACGACTTTTCTTGTACAGAAAGATGTAGTGTGAAATGTAAATGTCTTCCTTCCCCTAGCCCTTCTTGTCCACCTCCTCAAAGGTTATGACTGGTAAGGAATGATAGGGTAACCTATCCTTCCTACTCCTTCATCTCCTTTTCTTTCACAGATTTGAAGGTGTTGGAATGTGAAACATAAAGTGAGGTTTTAATTTTTCCTCACTGCCTCCAATTTATATATTCTAACTTCTCTATTCACTGTGGCATTTAAAAGGTGCTGAAGAATCTGCTGAATCAGTTGAATAATCTTGCCTCACTATATTATGAAGTGTCATAAATTACTGATTGACTTTATAACTAGACAGGCCTGGCCTTTTCAATGAGTCCTATAATCTTAATGGTATGTCTTTAGGTCATTGTTGGAAAGCTCCATTGATTTCTTAAATACTTTTTTTTTTCTTCAAATAAAAATAGTTTAAGCTTAGATCCTTGTTACAATTCAAGTTATTCTGTTACACCCTGATGTGAATGTGTTTTAAAATCCATACCAGAGAGCAGGTTTTGGTAGGATAGGGACTATAACGTTGGCAGGAGCTAATAAACCTGGAGGCTGGCAGTCCCATTGTCAGGCTTGCTAGTTGTTTAAAGCGAAAGCTCATAATTATTTACTCTATCCTACCGTGAGGACTGTGGAATTTCAGTCGTTAACAAAATAGCCTATTGAATCAACTCTTTACTAACTTGCATCCTGGCTGATAATCTGGAGCCAAGCAATATACCACTTCAAGGCTCTATCCAAATTATTAACACTAAATCAAATTGGATCACATCAACTATTTATCCCTTGTCCCACTTATAAATGGTAAGTCTTTTCTAGTAACAAGTTGGAGACAATATGGCAGGAACTACTTTCACTTTATTTGTTCCCATTTGACAGTGAACCTACTATTAGCTGTAGTCTAACGGAAACTCAATGATGTAATAAAAAATCTAGCTTCTTTATGATATAGAGATAAGGTTTGCTCTTTTCTTTTTGCCCCTTGGCTGCCTCCAGCTTGTCCCCTGCATCTTGCTTCTCAGACCTCATGTTTACCAAGCCCTGATTTATTATCTTGCTTTATTACAAATTAATTAGAATTAACAGAGTCCCTCAGCGTTGTTGTCTCCCAGCATATCTGTGATCAGCCTGGGTGTCAGCTTGCCTTTTGGGACTTTTGACTAAATCCATCATCATGCACCTTGCTATTAGTCTTTATACCTGGTTATTATAGATGACCACTGGTACTGATTTATCTTGCTATTCTTACTATAGTCCCTTCTTTTTTGAGAATTTTCTGATTATTTAAGTTTTCTATATATATACTCATCCTTGTTTACACAGACATAAGAAGATATTTATATTTTGTAGGTATACTTAATAGAAGAAACAGAGCAACCATATACATCTATAGAGAAATATTCATTTTTTCTTATCAGATATACACTTAATAGAGGACACAGACACCCATTTATGTCAGCACACTGTGGTACTCAGTAAGTTTTTACAAAGTTGCAGTGTGATTAGCTATTGAAAACTTCTGAGGCAGATGCAAGATATATATCCCTCTTATCTCTTTATGCCCATCTATTTTGATCACTAGTATAAGCGCATATCCTTCTTTTGGAATCCAAAGCATTGTGTCTGGGCAGGTGATGGTCAAATAGGTTAGATGAATGAGAATGAATTAGAGTTAATGTGGTAAGAAATGTTGGGATTTTCTAGCAGCATTTTATATGACCCAGAGGGCAGCAAAAGTATGTTTCTCTTTTGGTTGTATATATTTTTTCATGCATTCAACATTTATTGAGTTCTAACTTTTTAACAGAATATTGTGCTAGACATTGAGGGTACAGAGATGAGTTAAACAAATCCCTGCTTTTAATGAGCAAATAGAAGAGGGGCTGACAGACCCAGATGCACAGGTAAGTACAAAATAAGATAGTTACTGTTTTTCAAACTAGGGCAGGTCCACCTTGGGGTGGTAGTGAGATAGTAGATGCTGTAAGATAAACTTGATGCATCTTGTTGTCACTTTAATTTTACACAGTGGTGTGTAATTTGATGCATTTTAATTTTATAGTATAGATGGATATTATCTAGTGCATTGCAGAAAGTCACTTGAACTTTTGTTCCTGAGGACAGTTCCTTCTGGCTGTGTCCCAGACTTTTTTTTCTTCTGGGTATTGAGGTAGTAAGCCTGCTGACAAAGGATATGATTAGGATGCTGAAGAAAGGAGAGGAGGATGTTCTACTGGATTCTGGGATAATTTCTTATATATTGACCAACTTTTTCTCTGGCTGAACAACTTAGCTTGTTCTTATTTTCATATTATTTGCTCATTTTCTAATTACTGTTTCTTTACAAAAGTCATTTGCTAAAATCCAAAATGTCCTTCTGCTTGTCTGTCAACTTCTGTCTCCCATCTTTAATAACCTTTCCAGGTTCTCTCCTTCATCACTTGCTTTATTTGAACTTGCAGATTTTTTCAATGGTTAAATCTTGTCGTGTGGGAATATTTTCTGGTAATAAGTCATTTCCTTTTTTCCTAAGCAGACTATAAATGTTTCCATGTTGGGGCGCTTTATCTATTGTATTTGTATATCTACTTTATGCTTCTCCCTTGCAATAAAAATGAAAACAAAAATATTTAGTATGTTATTTCCTACATTGAAATTTTCATGTAGGAAATTTCCTGTTAGATATGGAGCCTATCTTGTGGTAATATGGTGGTCCTAGCCTTGTCATAGTTGTAGGAGGTGATGATATGGTTTCTGTAACACTGTGCAAGTCATTTGTTCAGTATATATTTGAGTACCTATTATGTGCCAGGCATTTATTCTCATCTTTAGGCTGCTGTGCTGTGCCAAAGACCACTGCTACATTGGTTCACTGTAATGTCCTCTTTTTTTTTTTTTTGGTGGGGGGTTGAGGAAGATTAGCCCTGAGCTAACATCTGTTGCCAGTCCTCCTCTTTTTGCTGAAGAAGATTGGCCCTGGGCTCACATCCATGCCCATCTTCCTCTACTTTATATGTGGGATGCCTGCCACAGCATGGCTTGATAAGCAGTCTATAGGTCCGTGCTGGGGTCTGAACCTGTGAATCCTGGGCCGCCGAAGTGGAGCACGTGAACTTAACCACTGTGCCACTGGGCCTGCCCTAATAATGTCCTCCTTTTTGCTTATCTTGAATAGTAACAAATGTGAGATGAGAAAGTAGTTGATAACCATAACAGAGAAACTTGATGGATGTAGGTTTTGTTTTGATAAAGTGGAGGGAAGTAGGTAGATATAAAAATCAGCTTTAGTTTATAAAGATAAAGTAAATTTGTTATAATTTGGAGACAGAATGAAAGAGGCGCTGTCTTTTTAGAAATCATCTTTATAAATCACCCTTGTAGTTTCTTAGAAATATTTTTTTTTCTGATTGTTAGGAGCAATACACGTGTACTATAGAAACTTATAGGCGTGTACAAAGAAAAAGTTTCCCATGATTATATGACTCAGAGACATATACTGTTAACATTATGGTAAATGTCTTTTTTGGTTTATTTTAAATGTACACATACGTGACTTTTTAAAGCAGAAATGGTATTATACTGTATCCACTGTGTTAGAGATTGTCATTTTTATTCAGTAATATTGTAATGTAGTGATTTTTTTCGTAATGCCAATTTGATATTTCTCTGTTTTAGTTGAACAATGTTTTAAAAATTTTTTATTATAATACATAATTGTAAAAAATCAGAGATTACAGAAATATATAATGTAAGAAAGGAAAAATTTCTTGTAATCATATTTATCCAGCTATAGCTATTAATAGTTACTAGATTATTTTTCATGGCATATTACAATATGATTTTTATTGGCTGTATACATTGCATTGGATTGATGTTTATTTAGTCAATTTCCTAGTGTTTTGGTTGCTTCTCATTTATTTTGTTATTTACAGATAACCTTGAATTGAACACCTCTCTACATATATATCTCTGCTTATTTCCTTAGGATAAATTCCCAGAAGTGACTACATAAAAGGGGATGCACAGTCTTAAGTTTTTATGTACCACTTGCCTTCTAGAAAAGTTGTGGCAGTTACATTTCCTGTAGCAGCACATGAGATTGTTCATATTCACTTGTACTCCTTGACTTGGAGAGTATTTTCTTTATTTTTCCATTCTGATTGGTAAAAACTAGTATATAATTTTAAATCAGTTTTTCCTCTTAGTGAAAGTGATGATTTTCTCATGCTTTATTGACTAATTTTTGTCTTGTTGATTTTTCTCTTATTTTCTTTTTTTATTTGAGTGAACTCTTTGTATTAAGGATATCAGCACTCCAAGAACATGAATAGTCTGTTTGCTTAACTAAATCATAGGCGTTTGCTTTTCTTGGTGGTATTATGTACTATTTAAATTGCATAAACTTAGTACATTTTTAAAAATTTTATGTTGAGTAGACTTGCTATTCTAGTTTAAAATGCCGTATGTATCTTCTTTATGATGTAAAAATATTAAGCTGAAATAAATTTGATAACTGTTAGATTACTTATGTTGAAAATGAGAAATAGAAGACTGATAGGTGTTATTTTTTGACCAGCTTATTGATTTATCACGGATTTAATCAAACCTATTTTATCTTTTCTCTGCTAATAGCTACAAGTGTATTCATCAGAGTTTGGAGGATAATAATAGATGTCCCAAGTGTAACTATGTTGTGGATAATATTGACCATCTGTATCCTAATTTCTTGGGTGAGTCTTTGGAATGATTTTTTATTTTTTTTGAATATTCTGTCCCCAAAAGTGTGTGCTATCACTAATTTTTTCAGAAAACACAGGTTAGAGGTAAGCAGATCTCTTTCTCCTCCTCACCAGGGTGCTTTCCTTAATCTTCCCTGGGTTGTGACATAGATCCCATACCTTATGTTGTTAGTATCATATCATTATTTTTAAGGTGCATAAAAAAAAGTTGACTGACACAACTCATAGATTCTTACGTAGATGGCTGGATAGAATGTGAGGTTGAAGGAGAATGCCAGAGGTCCAGAATACCTGTCTCTTTATACAGTGTTGTACATTCCTGCTGTTTCTGCTTCTGGGCAGAAGTGAGAAACAACGGAGGAAAGGGTTAATGGGGAAGGAGAAGGGGGACAAAAATCTTGGGTATGAGGATTCTTGGATAGGGGAGGAGAGTCTGTGACCTGGGGATACTATCGAAACAGGAACTAAGGAAGGAAGACATGGATATAGAACTACTGAGAGAGGAATGGTAACTGGAGAAGAGAGACACAAATAGGGAAATTTTAAGGTAAATGGTAAATGGTTGGAAAGAATATGTAGTCAGAGACCAATTGTGAATATCTAAAATTCTACCTGTTAAAAAGCCTCAGATATGGTGGGAAATCTTTAGTCTGATTTTTCAGGAATGAAGATTAATTTTCCAAAGATTAATTTTCAGATATGGGTAGGTATGAAGTAGGGCACTGTTGGGTATGTATATCAAAAAAGTTAATTCTTCCTTCCGAAGAGTAACATACTCAGAGTTAGGGTGTGATGTCTAATTGTATATTAGATTCTGACCTGCCAGTGCTTTGGTTGCAGTTTGATTTTGCTTAGCTTTAGCTCATATGGTGGTTTATAATAAATCCTGAATTGGAACCTTTTGAGCTTTCCTTTTTACCTCTGCTCTAAAATTACATTGGCTGCAATCCTTTTTTTCTCTTTCACTCTTCACTACAATCCAGTATCTTTTCATGAAGGGAAATTACTGGATGATTACAAGGCAGAAAGGGACCCTGAAGGAAACATTTTGAAGATTTTCTGTTGGAATACTAAATTCTTCTAGGTAGATAAAATCTTACAGCAAACTTGGAGAAGGAACTTAGGAAAAGAAGAAATACTGAGTGATATAATAGTCTGCAGAACTGGACTTCATGGGCTAAGTTAGGTAAAAGGGAAACCAAAGTCCTGCAAAGAAGAATCCTTTGTCAGTAATTGTCTGTGAACTTGCAAACATGGATTGATTGATGCTGCTTTATGGCCTCTGGAATCACTTTTCTATCAGTTGTTGTAACGTTGGGAAACTGCTTCTTCTTTTGGAATAAATACAGAAAGAAATCTAATGTTCTGAAGATTTTGGTATTTCAAAATTTTCAGGCAATATTCCTTAATGAGTCCATAAGTTAGAAATTCCATTATATGAATTTCTAAATAGTGAGAGAGAGAGCACTATATACTAGTATGGAAGGAATGTAAGAATGTAGTACTGTTTAAGTTGGAAAGTGATTTCATATATTGTATATTCTCAAATATATGTATGCAGTGAATAGTGAAATCACAATTTACTGATTTTGTAAGCTAGAAGTTATCTTGGCGATGATCTTGTCTTTAACCTTCTCTTTTCATGGATAAAAAATTTAGGTTTTGGGTAATTGGAATGTAAGTATTTTATGCTAATATTTGAAGTCTTTTAATTATAGTGCAGCTTCCAATGTGATAATATATGTCAGCCATGGAAATAACATTTCCTCCTGATGTATCTGTTTTCTGTTTTTCTGCCCGTCACACCTTCCAGTCTTTGCCTTTGTACAGTGATGGTCAAATCCTTAGGTTCCTACACTAGGAAGATAGAGATTATGTCTCCAGTGCACTCAGGATGCCACTGAGATCTCTTGCCGAAAGTGGAGCACCACTTGTTTTTTCCTATGCTGAAAAAAACTCTTCAAAGTTGTTTCCATTGCTTCGGCTTGAGATCACATGATTTGTATAGTGCCTGCAGTTCTTGGTTGGGTTAAGAAGACCTTGAGCCTTTTAATGTAATTTCTGATTTCCTCTTGAGCATGGTAAAGTGAGTATATGCTATATGATTCTGAAGTATTCTAGGTAGACTTGCACCTTTTTTATTGATAGGTTAGGACTCTTCACTTTTAATGCTGTACATTTATCTGAGTCATGGATAGAGGACTGGGCTACACATTTTCTATAGCAGTGGTCTTCAAACCTTTTTGCTTGGGTGACCCATATAAAAATTCTGAAAAATGATGTACTTCCTCACACATTGATGCCACATTTTAAATTAGCATCCAGAATTTTTCCTTGTAAGTTTAAGTGGTTGTAAAGGATGTAATTTTAGGAGTATTGTAAATATGGTTATTTAAAAATAAAACTTTTGGGCTGGCCCCGTGTCTTAGCGGTTAAGTGTATGTGCTCCGCTACTGGCAGCCCAGGTTCGGATCCCGGGCACACACCGACGCACCGCTTCTTGAGGCCGTGTCCCACATACAGCAACTAGATGGATGTGCAACTATGAGATACAACTATCTACTGGGGCTTTGGGGAAAAAAAAAGGAGGAGGATTGGCAATAGATGTTAGCTCAGAGCCAGTCTTCCTCAGCAAAAAGAGGAGGATTAGCATGGATGTAAGCTCAGGGCTGATCTTCCTCAAAAAAAATAAAATAAAATAAAATAAAAATAAAACTTTTATCTCTTTAAAATGAATTCATTGGAATCTAAATATCATAGTGATTTGATACTTATTGATTTGAAAATGGACATTTTTCATTAACAATGAGAAATTTCATTCATCCCTTTTCTCTTTGAACTTCTAAATAAATTACGTCACCCACATAATTTTATCCTTATATGATTTATTTACATGCTTCAAATTCTTTTTGATCTATCTGTAATACTTTTCTGTAACAGAAATGTTTGTAATGACAGACTTAGAAGTTTCTTTTGAGTGTAATTTTCTATTAAGTATTTAAAAATTGTTAAATATTTTTTCCGGGTTCTTGCAATTATTGGTAGTATGCAATTGATCAAACAAATATTTATAAACTTTATAAAGTATTAGACATAAAAATTTAGAAAATGTGCTGCTTAATATTGGATGATGCCCTTCTCAATTAGTTCCATTGCCATTGATTGTTATTACTAGGATAAGGATTCAGTTTCATTTGTCTTCTTTTTATTTATTTATTTACTTAGGATCATTACAGATTTTTAAATTGAGATATAGTTGACTTATAACCTTGTGTAAGTTTGATTTTATCTTTTTCTTTTTAAAAAGTGTAAGTCTTGAGAAACTTTGCTTACATAAATAAGTTGATTGGGATTTAAGGAATTTTGCAACTGAGTCACTCAGTTCTTCGACCTCCTTCTGAATTATGTGCTAAAAAAAAAAGCACTTACTGATTTGTTGTAAAAAAAAAAAAAAAATTAATGCCCTATTAGTTAACAAGTCAAATATTTTCTTCAGTTTTAATGAAAGCAAAGAGTTGGAAGCCATGCACTCAAAAAGGATTTGGTTTTACAGTCATTAGAGTTATACACTGTTTTGTCAAGACAGATATTTTGAGTTTTCCTTTTCTGCCCAAGAACTACACTACATTCCCTTCTTCTTCTGACTTCCCTTTCCTCATCTCTTCCTCTACCTTCTATGGCATTCTTTTTCATTCCACCCTCCCCCACCAGTGGCACACACTCACTCTTCTCCTTCCCATTCTCCTTAGTCTTGAGAGCTGTCTTTCTCTTGCTCCTGATCCTGGAAGGCTCATGTAGGGTGAGGGGGTGTGCCCCCCGCCCCTGCCTTCTGCAGTTGCTCTCCTCCACTCCTGCCAAGCCTTGCTCTATGGCTCTCCCTGTCCCTTTATGTTGTGGGTTTCTCTAGCTGCCTCTGTTTCTCTCTAGCAGTCTCTTTTCTAGCTTTCTTTGTCTATTTATAAAATTTGTAAATTGAATTTTCTTATCTTCCTAGTGAATGACGCTCTTACTCTTTAATGTAAAGGACAACATGCATGCAGAGTTTAAAATCTCTGTTTAAAAAAAAGTAGCTAATGCACATAACATCCTTACTACCCCCAGGCACTGTTGTGTTTGATGTATGTTAACTCGTTTAATTTTCAGCCCTATGAAATAGGTGCTCTTGTTGTCATCCTCATTCCTCAGGTGAGGATACTAAGGCACAGAGAAGTTGAGTAATTTGCGTAACGTTATATAGCCAGTAAGTGACGGAATTGGGATTAGGTCCTAAGTAGTCTAGCTCAAGATCATGTGCTTTTACTCTACTGTCCTGCCTCTGAAAAGACAGTTACTAGAATGGAATCTTTAGTGGTAGAAATGCATTGGTTTGTTCTTAGCACTATGGCTGTTATCAGGATCTAGAGAAGTATAATTATGGATATGGAATGTCTTTCAGGTTCAGTGGTATATGAGATTTCTCAGTAAAATGCAATGTGGTATACATATATAAGATATTACAATTATTTGTCACAATTTTTCTGTAGGTGGTTAATTCTGTAATTGAAACATTAGACTCTTATTCACATACTCCTCTTTATTCCCTCTACATTATTTCAAGCTCTTTTCCTTTATCTTCCGGATTATAATAACTTTGCTTGTGAGATACTTACCAGGCTTTTCAGAATCAGGCTCCATTTCCAGCCTTAGTTCTTAGCCCCTGTTAATCATTAACAAAATCACTGACCTTGTATTTCAGCCATATTGATTTTAAATCATCTTATCTCTTGCTGTTTCATGCCTTTACCCCCCAACCTCCACACACACCCTTATCTGAATTCTTTTCCACTTCTCTTTCTGTTTAGTGAATCTGTGTGCCTGTTATGGCAATTCTAATGTCACCTTCTATGTGAAGCCTGCTCCTTAACATTTTGATTGCTCTTTGTCTTATCTTTTTTGTAAATCTATTTCAATGATATTATCGTCACATCATATTATTACTACATCATATATATTTGTCTTCCTGCTCCGAGTTGCTTGAGTCTTTCTTAGACTGAGTCTTATCTTTGAAGCTTGGATCCCTAGTGTGGGCTTGGTACGTCTCTGGTTTGTTTGAAAATGTTTATAGTTGGATTGTGATATATAGTGGAAAATATTAAATAGTTGGGTTTGTATCCTAAGTCCGTCTTGTATTATATGTCACCGTAACTTCCTTATGCTCTAATATTCCTTCATCTCTAAAGTGGGGAGAATAATCCATAGGATAATGTCTATAAATTAAAGTGCCTACCTAGCCTACTGCTAGTTTCCCTTTTCTTTATCAGTTGTTTTTTTTTTGGTATCATTTGGCTGTTAAAGACAGAAAAATCCAGTTAAAAATGGCTTCAGTAGGGGCCAGCCCAGTGGCGTAGTGGTTAAGTTTGCATGCTCCGCTTCTGGTGGCCCGGGGTTCACAGGTCCAGATCCCAGGTGTGGACCTACGTGCTATTTATCAAGCCATGATGTGGCAGGCGTCCCACATAAAGTAGAGGAAGATGGGCACAGGTGTTAGCCCAGGGCCAGTCTTCCTCAGCAAAAAAGAGGAGGATTGGCAACAGGTGTAAGCTCAGGGCTACTCTTCCTCACAGAAAAAAAGGGCTTAAACATTAAGGAAAATGTATTGATTCACACAAAAGAATTTCTAGAACTAGTTAATTCAATGGTTCAGTGATAGTATTAAGTTCTTTCCATCTTTCTGGTCCTCCATCCTCAGCATATGCTTTGGTCCTTTGGCTCGCTCCCCTCAAGATTGCAAAATGGCTCTAATCAGTTCCAGATATCATCGCTTAATGAAGGCACGGAAAGAATTTGTTTTCCTCCTGTCCTTCTCTTTCTGAAAGACAGTATACCCTCATTGGTCAAAACTAGGTCACATACTTAACCCCACGTCAATCACTGGCAAGGGTATGAATGACTAGATTGGCTTTGGTTAGTTAAGAATCGTACTGTGGGGCTGCAGAGGGATCTAGCCTCTCTGAAAGTATGTGGCAAAATGACACTTGGAAAAAAAATCATGTTACTATTAAAAATAGAAAAAGAGTAGGATGGTTTTTGGATAGGTAACTGACGGTGTCTGCCATGATATTTATAGAAAAGTCACAAAAAAAAAAAGAACAACAAATAAAAATCTTTAGTGCCTACTTCATAGAATCTACTAGTTACCATGTAAAGCATGGGACAGTCTTACACAGTGAAGAATTGTCTCTCTACAGGTGCCAGTAGTGTCCTCATTGAGACATGTAAGAGAAAGTACAGACTCTGAAGAATTCTCCTCCTGTAGTAATAGTAGTAGTAATAATAGCAGTCCTAGTAGTAATAACTGTGGCAGAATTGTTTCTAATTTGACATAAAATAAAAACCTAGCATTTTCTGCTTAGCATCTTTTAATTTGGGGGCTTTTTAAAGTTAAAGTAGTATCCATCTAAACAGAACAGTTAAATGATACATTTAACCAAAATACGAATTATATGTGCTTGTTGTTTTGTTTCTGTTTTCAGTGAATGAGCTCATTCTCAAACAGAAGCAAAGATTTGAGGAAAAGAGGTTCAAATTGGACCACTCAGTGAGTAGCACCGTATGTTTCAACTCTTATTACTTTTTTAAATAAATTTCAATTTGTTGTTTTTATTGGTTTAATGTTAGATATTAAAGCTTAGTATATTATTCATTTTTTAAAGGAGATTTGTTTACAATTGTTCTATTCAATAAAGAACTTTCTTAACTGCATTGTCTAAAATTTACTCTAGTGATCATCTTTTGAAAGGTCTGGTGGGATCATATTGAGTCAGAGTTGGCTTGTAATACATGACATTTGAAGGATTATATGGCAGGATGAAACTATGGGTGGTAATTTGGAGAAACTATTGCAAGATTCTCAGTTTCTAAGAGGATTAGCCCCAAATTATTGAGGCAAATGAGCTTAAATTAATACCTTAATTTATAATAAATAATAAGTTAATAAATAATAATAAATAATAAATTAATAAATCCAGGCATTTATTTTGTAGGGAATTATACCTTCTGAGATGCTGGCTTAACATTTGTCTTTCATATCTGTTATCTAAATTCATTTAAGGGAGAAATATTGTTTAAATTATAATTACAAGGCAGTGGGGAGCTACTAGCTGGGAAGGAGTAGATTAGAACATTGTAGTATATTTTTGATATCTATGTAATAAACATATTGGAAAATAGCAGTTAAACGTTTGTTTTAGACTTTCTAAAACAATCTTTTTAGGAAGTTGTATTTCTTTTCTTCATTTTTAGAATGGCCACAGGTGGCAAATATTTCAGGATTTGTTGGGAACTGACCAAGATAACCTTGATTTGGCCAATGTCAACCTCATGTTGGAGTTACTAGTGCAGAAGAAGAAACAACTGGAAGCAGTAAGTGGCAGCTGCACTTTAAAAAATTTTGTTTTAAATGTTGCTGTTTGTTGCATTGAAAAAGATCTAGAAATGTTTAAAAATAATAGGGTAGTGTCACTCAATCCATCCAGTTTTATTCAGCAAGAAACATCTGCAAGGTATCACTTCTAACAGATTCCCCTTTTCCAAGTAAAAGAAAGGATAAATTCCTTATAATATAACTTACTTGCAATGGCCAGTTTGTATTAACAAAAGCTGAGTCTTAAGAAAGATCATGAGAGGGGCCGGCCCAGTGGCACAAGTGGTTAAGTGCGCGTGCTCCGCTGCGGCGGCCTGGGGTTCACCGGTTTGGATCCCGGGCGTGCACCGACACACCGCTTGTCAAGCCATGCTGTGGCGGCGTCCCATATAAAGGAGAGGAAGGTGGGCATGGATGTTAGCCCAGGGCCAGTCTTCCTCAGCAAAAAAAAAAAAACATGAGAAAGTACAGTTTCATTTTAATAGGGAACAATTATATTGGTCATTTTTCTTCTAATGAATATTTTCCTTGCCAAATCTTCCCTCTTCACATATGAAATCTGGAGGAGAAAATAGAGATTATTTTTATCTACATAAAATCTTTCCAGCAGGTGTCCGTTGGCAGCAGCAGTAGTCTGTGGCTTAACTAAGGGCATTTGGAAAGATGGGAACTGGAACTAAATATATCCTTTTTCATGTAATGAAATTATAATTAAATGTAAATAAATGTAAAATTGCATTTATTTCATGTAAATAAATGTAAAAAATGTAAAATGTGAATTTGTATTAATCAAGAATATGAATTCATTATAAGCAATACACACCTTAGTGTAAGCAAATATGCACTCTGACCTAGCTTAACAAAAAGGGAGTATTTATTGACAGGATAAGGGAGTGAGTGGCTCACATATATAAAAAGAAAGAGCTTAACAACCAAATATTGGGAAGATTGAAACCATGGCTTCCCTGGAGACGATAAGGAAATAAGATCAGGCACTTGAATGTTGTTGGGAATCTTTCTTTTGTGCTTCTTGTGTCAATTTCTTTGGGACCAGTCTGATTTTCTTTTTGCAGATTTTTATCACTTGGTGGATAATGTGCTCACTTGCACTTCCTCATTTATGTTTATGTCTTTTGATAAAAGAAGAAAAGGAGCTTTGTTTTCCAACTTTAGTTTACAAAATTCTGTCGCTGGATTCTGATTAACATAGCTTAGACCTGGATCTCATCTAATAAAATGGGAATCTTTTAGTAGGAGAGAGGAGTAGCTGAGGGTGAGCTGACCAGAATGAGTCTCCCATGCTATATCTTTTTGTGAGGCAGAGTTTGTGGGAAATTCTCTGTTTTTTTGGGGAAGGGCTTTATTCTTTTATTTATTATTTTCTTTCAGTTTTATGGAGATGTAATTGACATACAGCACTGTACACATTTAAGGTGTACAGCATAATGACTTGACATACATATATTGTGAAATAATTACTGAAGCAAGTTTAGTTAACATCTATTATCTCATATAGATGAAAGAAAAAAATGTTTTTTCCTTGTGATGAGAACTTTTAGGATTTATTCTTTTAGCAACTTGTAAATATATCATCCATAGTGTTAACTATAGTCATCATATTGTACATTACGTCCTCAGTACTTATTTATATTATAACTGGAAGTTTGTACCCTTTGACCACCTTCATCCAGTTCCCCCACCCTCTGCTTCTAGTATCCACAAATCTGATCTCTTTTTCTGTGAGTTTGGGGTGTGTTATTTATTTTTTTTAAGATTTTGTATGTTAAGTGAGATCATACAGCACTTGTCTTTCTTTGTCTGACTTATTTCACTTAGCATAATGCCCTCAAGGTCCATCCGTGTTGTCACAAATGGCAGGATTTCCTTCCTTTTTATGGCTGAATAGTATTCCATCGTGTATATATACCACATCTTTATCCATTTATTCATTGAGAGACACTTAGATTGTTTCTTTGTTTTGAATGTTGTAAATAGTGCTGCATTGAACAGGGGAGTCCAGCTGTCTCTTCAGCATAGTGGTTTAGTTTCCCTTTGGATATGGATATATACCCAGAAATGAGATTGCTGGATCATATGGTAGTTCTATTTTTAATTTTTTGAGGAGCCTTCATATTGTTTTCCACAGTGGCTGTACCAATTTACATTCCTACCAAGAGTGCACAAAGGTTCCCTTTTCTCCACATCCCCACCAGCATTTATTATCTCTTGTCTTTTTGATAATAGCCATTCTAACAGGTGTGAGGTGCTATCTCATTGTAGTTTTGATTTGCATTTCCTTAATGATTTGTGATGTTGAGCACCTTTTCATGTACCTCTTGGCCATCTGAATGTCTTCTATGGAAAAATGTCTATACAGGTCCTTTGCCCATTTTTTAATTGGATTTTTTTTTTTTTTTGCTATTGAGTTATATGAGTTCTTTATATTTTTTGGATATTAACCCCTTATCAGATATATGATCTGCACATGTTTTCTCCCATTCTCTAGGTTGCCTTTTCATTTTGTTGATGGTTGCCTTTGTTGTGCAGAGCTTTTTAGATTGATGTAATCCCACTTGTTTATTTTTGATTTTGTCCTTATGCTTTAGGTGTCATATCCCAAAAATCGTTGCCAAAACTCTCCTATGGTTTTAAACACAGTTTTTGATTAGCATCTACTATGTGCTAGGTGTTATGTTAAGGGCTGTGTAAAAGCCAGACAGGATTCTGCTTTGTGTGTGTGTTGGGGATGGAGTGGGGAGATAAACTAAAGCAATTAAGTAAATATTTTCACATAGTGATAAATGATATAAAGAGACTTCTCTCTGATAGATTGAACATATGCAGTTACCTTGCTCCCTTAAAGCTATGAAAGTGAGAGTAAAGGGATTTTAAGAAGGCAAAAGAATGGGACAAGAGACAATGGCAGCAATATTTTTAAGCTATAAAGCAGATGGATGAAAAGTAATAGATTAGGAGATCTGAGAAAGCTGAATACTGAACCAGTAGTGGGGGAATAGCCAAGAACCAACCCTGTTTATATTGTGGAACAAAGGCCTTGGAATTGAGAACGTTAGGTACCTCATATAATAAAGGCTGAAAACAGGATGACTGACTGAGAGTCAGATTAAGAAGCGATTGGAATCCCTGATCCTTTCCTATACAACGCACAGCAAATGAGTCTCCTTTTTCTACCTTAGGACACTAGAATCTTTTCCCCGCATGTTGGTGGTAAAAGAGGTTCTTTGGACTATTGCACAACAGGCACACTTCAACATGGGGGTACCATACTGAAGATAGATAAGCTTACATATTGAAGGTGAGAGCTGTTAACTTTCTTCCCACCTTTGAATGTGCCAACATTAATTTCTGCTTGCTTTTTGTCTTAGAATTAAAGAAATATAGGTCTCTTAGTTTTAGACCACAGATCCTTTTCTATTTTTTGAAGAGGGAGCCAGTTCAGAACCAAAGTTCCTATCATAGGTTTTATAGCTTTCTTTCATGATCGTTTTCCTGTTTTACTTTGCATTATTATTTAACTTGAATATTTCTGACATACAGAAAAGTACAGAAAATGAGACTCTTGACATACCACATCTCAGTTTTAATAAATATTAAGTTTTCCATATATGTCTTAGACCTGAATTTTGAGAATTAAATTTTTTTTTATACTTAAAGCCCTCTCATCTCATTCTGTTCTCCCAGAGTGACCGCTATATGAAATTGGCAAGGATCCTTCTCGAGTCTGTTTATGCTTTTCTTCATATATTTGTATCTACAACTGTGTAAAGTATTGTTTGTATAATGTAGTTTACATAAAGAGTTTCATACTGTAGTTATCCTTTTGACATACACCCCTTTGTTTACTTTTTGAGGTTCATGTTGATAAATGTATATCTGGTTTATTTATTTTAACTTCTCTATATTAATCCATTACATAAATATATCTAATTCCTCTAATGATGGACGTTTGGGTTCTTCTCAGTTCTTAGCTGTTAGTGTCAATACTGCATTTAATATTGTTATACATGTCTCCTTGTGCTCATATTTAGACACTTAGTAATTTAAGGAGTGGAATTGCTGTTCATAGGGTGTGTATGCACATTTAACCTTATTAAATATTGCCAAATTGCTCTTCTGTGGGTTTGTACCATGTCAGTACTTGCTATTTTCTCTTTTTTAGTTTCTGCCAATCTGGTAGTTGTCAGATGCTTGTGTGTGTTTGTGTGTGTGTGTATGTTTTTTGCATTTCTGTATTTATTAGTGAAGTTGAGAATTTCATTTGTTTGGCTGTCTTGGTTTCTTATTTGGTAAATTACATATCCATATCCTAAACCCATTTTCCTACTAGATTTATTTATTTATTTATTTTTGTGAGGAAGATCAGCCCTGAGCTAACATCCATGCTAATCCTCCTCTTTTTGCTGAGGAAGACCGGCTCTGAGCTAACATCTATTGCCAATCCTCCTCCTTTTTTTTTCTTTTTACCCAAAGCCCCAGTAGATAGTTGTATGTCATAGTTGCACATCCTTCTAGTTGCTGTATGTGGGACATGGCCTCAGCATGGCTGGAGAAGCGGTGTGTCGGTGCGCACCCGGCATCCGAACCCAGGCCGCCAGCAGTGGAGCACGCGCACTTAACCGCTATGCCACGGGGCCGGCCCTCCTACTGGATTATTTGTCTTTTTTCTTACTGATTTGTAAGAAGTTTGTGTGTATCTGTGGATGTTTATTTTGGATATTGCTACTTTGCCAAATATATACTTTGGTATTTGAATTCTAGTTGAATCGCATTGTGGTTAGACAACATGATTTATATGATTTTGGATTGAATATTTTTCATGATTCCATTTTATTTGCCTTATTTAGGGCTTACCACATAACTTTTTGTTTTGTTCTTTAGTGGTTTCTTTTGGATTTTTAATATGATTGTTATTACATTGTACCTCCAAGTAATATTATCCTACTTCATCTATATTATAAGAACCTTACAACAATATACT